ACTGCAAATTGCACATTTCCTAAACATCATGACACCAAAAAGTGAATTTATTGTCTGATTACAGCAATCCCTTAGACATGCTACAGGCCACCTGTACAAACTAGGTAAGATGATCATGATATTCATGGCTATGAACCTTTAAGTTGTTTTCTCTTGGTCAAAAAAGTCTTCCAATGCAATTGGGCCAAAGAAGCTACTGATAGACAACCAGCAATGACAATGAATGGATCTGTGAAAGACGAGAAAGACGATAACGAATAGTAAAAGAGAAAACGTGAAGAGCAATCTACAGAACAAATGATTCACATGTCGCCACTTGCTGTATTGTCAAGACTGAACTGACTATATAGTATAATGTTTTTTTCAATGTTTTGTTACTGATGTCTTGAAACGCAAACCGGTTTATCAAACAACCGACGTCATTGCACTGGAATGAAAGCACTGTCAAACAAAATTTAACACACATACCATAGCTATCCCTAATATTCACAAATTCCCATTAACCTGGTGAAAGCCAAACAACACTTGAGTTGCAAACCACTCTACAACTATACTAGAGAATCTACAGTAGCTAGTAGTGTCAGTATAATGGTAGAAGTCATTAGTTATCACACCTGTAATACTATCTAGACACATTTCTTTTGCATTATGGTCTGCCCAACTGGCAAAGAAGACTCCTCCCTCCAGAGGATTCCTGCCGCTCTGAGAGAGAATATGGAGATGGGGAAAACGGCAGGAGATTTATTTGGCATGTGTAGCTTGAAAGTTAATGATCATGATCCATGTGGAAAGCTGGAACAACTGGTAGTTTAACTTTGGTAATACTATACACTTACAGCCATACCATCAATACCTATGATCTCTATGCAACTCGGCGGATTGATTTGCTCCATAAATACTCCCGCGATTGTGTGCTAGTGGCGGCTGCCACACCTAAGGGAAGAAGGGTGTCGACATCTAGCTGCCATAGTGGAACCCACACAACTCTGGCGCCAGCTCACTGCGATTGTACCGATGACGTAATGCCTTGCGCAAATGTGTTACATGTGTGACATCATTTGTAGTCGATTTGCCATTGTGGGCTAATGAGGGCGGAGTGTATCATGTGACGTTTGGTAATCTGATGTTGGGCTGCAGACAAAGTCTGCAGCAGAGGGTCAAGCGCGAGCAAACGCAATGATGCTAGACCCTCGTGCGGCTCGTGCTTGTGAGCCAGAATCTCCCCTTTCTCTCTTACAAGTGCAAGTGAAGCCAGTGGTAGGTGGTCCACTGCTGGTCCAGACTGCCAGCCACCCACAGCTGATCTCTCCTCCTCAAGTTCCTGAGCGCACACCCTCCACATGTGCCTCGTACGATCTCCATAGCAAGACACAGAACAGCTCTCCCTGCCTACCATGTGAACCCTTCTCCTGACACACGAGAGAGGAGAGAGAGATGACCCAATTCAACAGAACATGTAATCATGAACCATGTGTTAAGCACATGTATCAGTACGTAGCAGGCCAAATTCTAGTAAATACTAGCAGGGAGGTTGCACACAATCAACATTCCTGAGCCGTTGTGTGGTATGCGGTTATAATGTAATCAAGTATTGTAGCTGGCCAGTGTCAGGCTGTGCAAAACTTACTCTTCCTCGATTGTTTATAAGCCCAAGCGTGCTCCTATGAACAATAGGGCCCTAGTGCAAGAATGCAAGTACAGGTTTCTGTTTCTAGTAACAACTTTGCCCTTATAATAATACTGCAACATTCCGTCTCACAATACTAGAACAACACACACACATTGTACACACCCTGAGAGAGGTCGGTACGGCAACGAGAGCAAACAAAGTGTTCCTGATGCCAACTGAGGTCCTGGGCAGTGATACATGGCTGGAGGGAGGCAGAGAGGTGGCACACAATGATGCACAATACGACGTACCAAACCTATACCAATGTTCAACTGCGAGATTCTCCAACACAAGTATTTGGCTATTAATGCGCAGAGTTCCTGGGGTTTCAGAATGTGCTACGATTTACATGGCAAATGCACGTTTAACAACGTATAATCATACAGTGATCAATAATTGCAGTGTCTTCATCAAATTCATGATATGTAATATGGTGGCAGCTACACCTGATCTCCCTAAATCCCAGGAGTGGCAAATTCAGTTGGAATAATAATACTAGCTCCACAGACTCTGTGACCTCAGACATACCCCGACAATTGATTTGTGGCACGAGTGACAGGTCTTGGCAAACTTCTTGGCGTAGCAGTTCTCGCAGAAGATGCTCTCCTCCTCAAAGACAAACATGGTGTTCTGCAGCTGCTTCTGACAGCTCGTACACACAAAGTGCTCGGGGTGCCAGGACCTGCCCATGGCCGTCGCATATGGCCCTCTGCAGACAACGAGAGAGAGAAAAAGAAAGTGTAGTTAATTATTACCGTAAACCTGAAAGCCTTAAAAGAGTGTGAGAGTGACATTTTTAATGTGCTTTTGCACTGTGGGAGAAGGTCTTCAACTGTGCTAGTCGACATTCTTATTGCTGGTTCCCAAACCTTACACCTTTCAGCTTCCTAGAGCTTCAATTATACAAACTTATGTCCTCATGGTTTTCTAGAGGATGTATTACCCCTTCCATTGTTCTATAGTCTTAATGGACATTATTGAAAGCCTTCTAACAATAACTGCTTTCTCTCTCTTTCACTTTGTCCACTCATGAATTGGTCCTAACCTGATTGGTTGAGAGCAGGCAGCACACACTCCCTGTCTCTGAGTCAGCTTGGCTGCCACAGCTGGAGTCATCTGCTGATTACCCACTGGGGCTGGGAGAGACACACGCCACGTAAAGATCTATATTCACACTTTCGTTGCAACTACAAGTAAGTCGAAATGTAGAAAAAACTGTGTATAATTAGCTGAAGCCAACGGCTGGGAAATGGTGGGTACAGTACAAACGTATCATACTGCATAGTTAGAATCTTACACAAAGCATTTCGGTATAAAGGAGTACAGTGTCAACGGGAAAGTGTCAGTGTGCTATATTTAGAACTGTTACTAAAAACGGAACTTAATTGCATTCTTTCACTGTGCCCCTATTGTTTTGTTCTATCTTTAGTAACATTTCTAAATTTAGCACTTATATACTGCCAGATTCCCTGTAATAGGTCTGTTTCACTATTCATCCATTCATGTAATACTTTAATGCAAACGTACAGGTGGGAACTGGTGATCTTGGGGATGGAGAGGTGGAGGAGGGAGGAGGGGCTGGTTTCGGAATGGGAGATGTCTTTGGGGGTGTGGTCACTTTCGATGTCACAGTGGGCGGAGCTTCGGAAGTAAGGTAAAAATGAGAGAGAATGAAACAAAGAGAAAGTGTAAATATTCTTTAACACTTAACCAACCATGGACACAAACATGTCCAGAGCCTCAATATGTCCATAAGATTTATATGGGGGTTATAATACTAGGTGCTAATACTTTATACATCAATTTCTGCTGATTTAAGAAGATATCCATGGCGTCCAAAGGATTAATGTGCATATGGAAGGCCAAAATAGAGGCATGACTTTTAGACTTTTGCTTGTTAATATTCTGTTGGTGCGGCATCAACAGAACGTTGTTAAGACCAAGAATTACTATACAAACATTTCCGGATGCCTGAAGAAAAAGTTTTGCAGGCCTTTGTGGGGCGTTAAAACAACACAATCATGAAAATATTTTGCAATTTCATTAATTCCGCAATCTTGCTAAAGTTTTTTTTTTAACACGTACATTATATACCACATTTTTGATACGTCATTTTACAATATTATACTAGAGGTCAGTCAACTCACGCCGAGGTTTGTAAGAAGTCTTGACTGTGTTTCCGTCGTCGATCCTGATGTCTCTCATCTTCTCGGAGGGAGGGGAGGGAGGGCGTGGTGGGCATGGTCCCAGGGCACTGGGGACAGTCTCCGGGGCATCGTGAAGTCTCCTGAACGACGGAGACTGGTAGGTGGAGGTGGAGGTGGAGCCTCTGTCCAGACCAGAGTCAGGTCTACAGATCAGTATACATACAGTTGTTGGATATCCCTAAGCAACCGACATGTATGAAGCTACGTACTGGGGAGTTTTATGAGCCTATACAATCCTGCACAATGCAAGCAGGGTTCATACATGTCATTTGCCTGATGTCCAACAAATCTGTTGCAGTGCCCAGACAGGACAGCATTCGCAATTTCGCAATCTTGCTAACGTTTGTTATACCAAAACCCTGAACAGTATACGGAGTTGCACAGCATAGTGGTAGCGTCAAAATTGTCTTATCTATGTAGCTTGCTCAAACACATGTAATGCACAGACTGTTACCAAGAGCAATGTACTAATGATGAAGATGCTAATAAAGTGGGGATGCAAATGACATCATTATGATGTAAGGACTTACGAAAGAGGTGATCTTTGTACTGGAGGTCCCTCGGGATATGGCACTGTTAAATATTACAGTAAACACAATAGAATTCTGGATCACATGAGGGTCATGTGACCTCACATGAGTGTCATGTGACTTACATTTCACGGAGTCCTCTCTGGGAGGAGCAGGGGTGTGGTAAGAGGAGGGGCTGGCTGTTGGTTTGGCCCTGTTGCCCCCGGAGACGGGAGAGGTGGCGGGAGGGGGAGATGGAGGCCTCGGACGGGAGTCTGTGCTGTCTTGGTTGGTGAAGGGATTGGCACGAGCCATCGACGGACTCTTGGGAGGAGTGCTGAGAGAGAGAGAGAGAGAGAGAGAGAGAGAGGAAGACATGGTAAGTATGGTAAGGCCAGCTCAGCGTCTGGCTTGATTGTACATTAGCAAGCCTACCTGCATTACCACCTAATGTAGCTTACTAATACTACTTAACTGAATTATGAGGTAATCGTAATGTAGCTCAGTAATGCATTGCATTACCAAGTGCTGACATTACAAACCCTACCTGCATTATAGCACTTGAATTAGTAGTAACATTAGCTTCATTACCACGCATTATGTAAGGACTGAGGCGGAGTATATATGGAGAGGGAAAAGTGGCGGATAACATCATGTTTAAGCGTTACGGTTCAAAGCTAAAAGATCAAGAATGAGTGATCTTCTTCCAATTAACCCCTAAGTGCCCGGTCAATGAGATTTACCCAGATAGAGTGAGTTGGAGGGACATTCCTGTGGCTTTGATCATCTGTTGGGCATCGAAATGAAGCAGCCCATCCGTTAGGTCACCGTTAATTGAAATGACGTAATCTCCTTTGTTAACTCCGCCCTTTTGGGCCTTGCCTCCTGCAGTCACCTGGTGTTTGACAGAGAGTGTGGAAGAGGAAGTAAGGAGGGAGGGAGGGGAGGAGAGAGGAGAGAGAGAGGAGGGAGAGAGAGGAGGAGAGAGAGAGGAGGGAGAGAGAGGAGGGAGAGAGGGGAAGGAAAGGGAGAGAAAGTGAAAGAAGAAGAGAGGCAGGAAGAAGGGGGAGACACCAGCACAGTTTATGCTGGTTCCCTAGTGTGTCCACAGTGTTCCCAAGGGACTTCCATATGTACGCGATAAACATGCAAACAAGTCAAAATACGTCAAAATACACAGTATATAGCTACACATTATCATGTGTATTATGTAGTACACACTCATCACACACTCATCACACACTCATCACACACTCACTCGCTGTTGTTTGCTACATTGCAACCTGTATTATGCACAGTACACATTAGGACATGTTGCACAGTACACACGTGTACATTGTAAGTACAGAATGGTACACAACTTTACTATACAACTGACACACATACACATACATAGGAACAAGCACATTAGTGCATCATCTGTAATGACCCTCATGTTCAAACAGCAATTTCTACGATTTCACCTCATTTAACACTACGCACATAATTATGTAACAGATTGTATAACCCTGAACAGCGTAGGGAAAGGCTAAGCGGATTCATGCACATGTAAAGCTACATGTAGCCACATAACTTGCAGCCTTGTTACTTAGTAGGCACAGTACATTGTGTGTATACACGTAACTGCATTCTCGGCGAGTAAGCTGATGACCATATAAGGATGCAGTGGCTGGTTAGCCTGAGTTGGCACTTTGCCCGCAATACACAGCGATAAAGAGTGGGAGAGGGGCAACGTGCATTCCTATCCCACATTCCTAACATTCCACAGACTACCCTGCTAAGGCATTTGCAACCATCTCTCTCTCCTCTCCCTCCCTAACCCCTTTCTTATATACATCTCCCTGTGCCTGTTTTGCATCGATCACTACCAACACTCTCAATCTACCACCCCCAGCCCTCCCACAACTTCCTCTGCCAAGTCACAGATCATAGCCGCTAATTCTGCAAAACTCGATCAATTTCCTCTCTCCTCATCCTCCTATATCCCTCCCACTTCTTCCCCTACTTTCTATTGCGCCAATTTGTCTAACTTTGCCTCCATAGTATAGAGTGTGTATGTATGTATGTACACTATATTAAAGCAGCCACACTAAATTCTTTCGAAAGTGAATGTATACCATTTCTTTAGCATGCCAAGTGTGGTAGAGAGAGAATGTATGGTACAATGCTGTGGGAGAAATACTGTGCCATAGTAGCTAGAGTACTATGAGGTCGGTCTTTGTGTTGTGTTGTGTTGAAGATTCGAACCCCTACCAGCTAGAGTTGCCCTGGTAGCTCAGTTGGTAGAGCGCTCGCCTAGACTGCAGAATGTCGTGGGTTCGAATCCAACCCAGGGTAACTCAGAGTTGTCCTGGTAACTCGGCCTAGACTGCAGAGTGTCGTGGGTTCAAATCCCACATAGCAGCTCTAAAAAAGAGTTTTCCTAGGTGTATATAGGTTGTGTTGTTTGGTTTGCCTTTGCCTTTGCTGCCCTGAGACTTCGCTGTTGACATAACATAAAACCCGTGGGAATCTGATAATGTGTGGTGTATAGGACTTGGCAATCCAACGACCCACTGTCCAACCAACAGATCGCATCGTAATCGGTCAACCACCCCAGCCAACCAACCGGCGTCCTTTCTCTGCCTTTATGAGGTAAAGCAATGGCAATAATGTCTACTCCAGCAGATAAATACACATGTATTTCATATATTATGCTACGTTCTTCTATGCCAAGATGTTAGGCAAGCAGCCATGTACTAACAGCCAAGTTGGTCACCGTCCATAGTTAGCTTATATAATATCGTTTATCTTATTCCAGGTCTGTGTGTCTAGCTGTCCATATGAGGTAAAGTTATGAGAATACAGTTCTATAGTTTATCTGACTATACGAGGGAGAGTTATGTGGTTAACGTTAGTTCTTGGCAGACGGGGCTGGCTGTATGCCACACTATTGGAACCACTAACACATCTACAGTATTGTATTGTACTGCCAGCTTCGGCCTTTTGTAACACAACATAACACAACCACTGATTGTATTTTGATCTCCACTATATAGTATGCACAGGAATTTCTGCATTGCATAATATTATACGCAGAGCTATTTATAGGCCCAATTGTAAGGTTTAAAACTATTACACCTGGTATATATGAACACAGTAATCTTGTGACTTACTAAGAGCACAAACTAAAATATATGGGGGGAAACACAGGTTTCAAGAGAACTGATTATTACACAGACGTACATTACATGTAGGTGTGTAGTATGGTTTAAACTGCGAAGGTAGGTAAGGACAGACAAATGTACAGCTAATAGAGATTTATACACTGAGCATGTCATTGTATGGCTGAGCTACTGTAAGGAAGGGGTGCGGCTGTGGGTAAGGGGGAGAGGTGGAGGGGTCATATTATACTCACCACCTAACCTTTGATCTGAATAGGACCTATATTCAGACTATAGCTACCTACATGCATGTAGGTATAGGCTCATAAGGCTACTGGAGGTGTTTGATCCCCCACTCTATGTAAGTACATACATGTATTCAAACACGACCGAGTTGCCAGAAATAGGACAGCCTTTTAATTGTACAACATGTTGGGAGAGACGAAAACAAACTAACTTGCTACCAGAGACGGGCAGCTTTGTTGGCGGGGTAATACACTGTTGAACATGTTTCTATAGGAGCAAGTAGCGTGTGTATGATGTACTTACAAAAGGCAGTCAAAAGGAAAGAGGGACGGTAAAGGGGAAAGAGTGGGAGTTAAAGCCTTTCTGCAGGATTGAATGGACTCTATACACTACACAACCAGTGTAGCTGGACATTCAATTGATGAATATACATGTCCTGTGCAGGAGTTTCTTCTGTTGCACTGGTGTTGCTGACCAGTAACAACACACTGTATTAGAGGGAAAATTTCAAAGAGGGAAAGGCATGTGGTACATTACTGATGCTGTTTACTGTACATAATCATGCTTGTGCGCCTTATTTGACAATGTGTGCGACTGCGATTCATAACAAATTCAGCAGGGATTCGAGTTACTGTACACGTCGTTACCTTGGAAACACAGAGAGGGGCTCCGAAATCACGACCTCCTGATAGAGTGATACCCCAGGGGCGTCCCCCCGATAGGTGGATGGTCCTAGTCGCCATGGCGATGACAGGTGTTTGACCTTACTGCAGTTAGGAGAGAGGGCAAAGATTGGAGAGGAGAGGAAATGGAGAAGTGAGAGAGAGTTATATAGTGAGTAGGGAAGGAGGGAGGAGTGAGGAATGGGAAGTAGGCATGAGTCAAAATAACTAGCAATGAGTATGTAAAAGCAGTTGTGGATATACTGGTACTAATATTCCTCATTTACTTCTCCCTCACTTACTTCACTTGGTGATCTAATATACAGTTGTCACTTCATCACATCATTTGATTTCTCATAGATATGATCAGATATATTTAGCCTACTTACCAACAAGTATTATATGCTCTCACTGCAGAATCGATGGCTGGGTAATACAACCCACACCCAAACACACAGTATAAACTAGCTGTATGCATGCTGCATTATGTAAATTCATAGTTGAAGCGATCCACTCTGCCCACCGATATACCTACCGGTTACCGTATTCACTACAACCAGTATAGGCAACACACGCGTCTTGGTCTACTGCTGGCTCTAGCTAGCTCTACACGCTATTTTTTACACAGCTAACTCTGAGCTAGCCGACTCACAACACGTACTGAATCCGTACGTCGCGTTGTAGGCCTTCTTCAAAACCACCTCCAGCGATGCCTGTCTTGATCAGATGTAGTTCACACAACACAAGTAGACTTCACAACAATCTTCTACGACTGGCTGATGCGATTGGCTAGCAGCGTGGTGTGGTCACCTCATAAGTTTTGCGCAGGCGCATATGATTTACCCAAGGCGCATGCGCAGAATGGTCGCCGAATAGTCCATCTACGTGTTCCACGTTTATGCGGCTGGAAAACCGATAGTTCAGGCCTACGTAGGTTGGCTTTTGGGCGTGCGGAGTTCCCAGACGACAAAGAACACTAACGTTGTCAGCGCAGGCTATTACTCGAGCAGTTACCAAGCAATTATTTTAGCTGACCTACCAAAGACGAAAATTTCTTCATGTGTAAATTCATTTGATTGGATTTCCGTATAGCTATACTCACAATGATAATCTGCCTTTCTCTACTAAAATCGTTCACAGTGTTGGTAAGGAGTCGGACAACTTGCAAGCTATAGCTACGCTTCGGCGGGGTATTCGCTCCGCTCGCTCGCTTACTTTTGCGGCCATAGAGGTACATATATAGTCCGGGGTAAAAATAATTTTCTATCGTCCAGGATTATTCATTGCGTCGGAGAATTTCCAGTACATAAGTTTCCTCTCGTACTATTAGATGCATTTTTGGCGAGTGGGAGCGACCCAACTACACCCGTTAGTAAGCATTCACAGGGAGCACTACAGGCCGTGCCCATCGCAACTGGGAGTTTGCGGTTGCCGGTCTGAAGGGAGACGCTGTCCCTGCGAGCTCTGTCTGTTGGCATTTGCCACTCCCTTGCGGCGGGGAAAGGCGTGTTTCCCGGTCCCTCCCTCCAGCTGTAAGGACTGCCGTCGCATCTACACCTATAAGGTATATACCAGAAACACTGGAGATATTGGCACCAGGTGACACGAAGTTTAGAGTGATAAGAAGAGAATTCACCTAATGTTAGCTACGCTAGAGATAGTAATTGTCGCTGTATAATAATATCGTGATAATCTGTTATTCGAAAAAGGTGTCTAACTGCAATGTGTATAATAATAATGGGTAGATACCGCATCCACCTCATGTATTGTCTTCAACAAGGATGTAATTAGATTATTGCACATCGTTTTGGTTTCATTGGCAGGCTTTGGTAATCAGGCTACAACCTGGGGGGGTACTGGAGGTTGAGAGTTCCTCTGAAGATCTGCCAACTGGCTCGCCTGGTAATACGCTCGCTAGATCATTGCCCCTTCCTGGCGCGGCTCACGTTGTTCACTCCCACGCAATGAACCGCGCTCCGCTTTGCCTAAAACAGCGTTCCTCGATCCCTGGACGCTACGCAAGTTTTAAAAAACGGTGCAGCCCGTACGAATAACCTTACGTTTAACGGATTATAACAACTGCGCAATAATAATAATATGTGACCGTGCACGCAAAAACCAACCTTACGGCGTAATGTTAAGGTCGACCATGGAAGAGCTCCATGATTTACCGTCATGAAAGTAACGAACGCTTGATGTCCATGCACACCTCCGGCGAAATTGGAGACCTTCAGTGAAAAAATCAGTGCTTGAACTGGTACTGGTAAGGAGATAGCGGAGAAGAAGAAGAAGAAGATGAAGAATACACGAAAATCGTGAAATCGCGTATATGAGCGAATTCTCGCGTGGACGACTGAAGGTGCGTATGAGCTCTTGGGGGGACATGTATAGGTAGATATGGGCCCGTAGACTATTGCTAGTATGTTTTGAAGGCCTAGGGAGTGATTCTCCCCGAGTTTTCGTTTTGTACGCAGATCACGTGAGATTTCATCCGCGTCATCCCTATAGTGAGTCTACCGACTCCCTAATAATGCTTCTAGGAATGAACTATAATCTCTCACTAAATGAGGAGGTCTGCTTACACACACTGCTTATGTATTGGCTACAGAAATAACCGCAGTCAATGTATAATTATACTGCAGCTGAGGAGAATGCGTCTGTACATGAAGGAATGCATGTCTGTTGTTAATAATTGTACATGAAACGCCTCTAATTATACACCAAAAACAATTCCCACTCCTGTACCACTCGTTTGTTCCTGCAACTATTAGATTGTGGAACAGTCTTGATAGTACTCTATGTTCTGAGTCCTCTTTTTCTCTGTTCAAACGTCATCTTAATTCTCATGGGAATCATGTCTCGTATTAGCAATTGAGTGCTACTTACACGTATTCCTTGCTTCTGTGCTAAACTATTTAAAAAAACATTTAACAATTCCCAGGAACCCTGAGTAGCAAGTCTAAAGCAACACAAAGCAAACTGCAAAAGAACACTAGTGTCCAATGAATATATGTTATGTACTACGTGCGAGGGACATACCGGATTTCAATGAACCCGAGGGCTCCGCGTTTGTAGTGTCCCGAGCGCAGCGAGGGCACTACGCGGATGGCCCGAGGGTTCATTGAAATCCGGTATGTCCCGAGTATACGGAGTACATAACATGTTTAGTGCAGAGCAAATCAGCTCCGTATACGCGCACTGCGTTTCCAAGCACAGGGAATTTGAAAGATGCGAGAAAGAGACGAGAGCGCAAGACCGTCATCTCGTGCGGGACTATTGAACGCCGAACGCTAGGATACGCTGCTCCGCAGCTCGAGCTAGTCCCGCTGCGGGACTGTCCTCCGCCACTCATCCGAAGAAACGCGACAGGAGACCTGCGCGAACCATCGCAATCAGAGAGAGGCGAATTCAGGCGCAGTGCGGGCTGCTATACCGAAGGCGTTCGCCGTCAACTTACTAGCTTTGTCGCGCTCGCGGAGCCCCACCCCCTTATTTGCGTGCGGTGGTTTGTGGCGGGCGTGAGCTGCCTGGCTATCTAATATGTATATACATGGCCAAGGAGGGAAATGGGCTCAAAGCAGACACAGAAAACTGTCTCGTGGAAAAGGAAAATCAAGATATCAGTTATTTTGATCAACATTTTGTACAGATCATGTTTTGCGGGATACATTTCTTACATGAAATGCTGTTGAACCTGTTGAAAATCAACAGAAAAAACAAGGTCTCATATCATGTTTTCATGTTACTTTTGTTAGCTCACGAGGTTCATATGAGAAATTAGGAACCTCGTACTAACAAATCTGATTGGTCGATTCGAATCTGACATACAAAGAGTTTTTCTTGCTCCAAGAAAGATTTAGCTTTTGATATATTAGTAGCTATTCCTCATGCAGATGTCTATCTCTATAGCTAAGGGTGGGTCTGTTAGTGTGTTACTACCGAGTTTGGAAGCACCGTCGGTTCGGTGATTAGCGAAATGCATTAGCAATGGCATACATAATGTCGACATAAAACTCTTTTCGCTAGGTCTTACTGCCTTCATTTCCTTCCCGCACTAATACAGATTTTGGCCATGAAGGTGACAAGATGTATCTGGTGACTGCTTCTGCAGCTCACAATCTGCATTGAGTCCAACCAAACAAAGTCTCTGTGTGCAGAGGAACCTGCCATGTCTCACCTGATGACTTCTGGCAACTACAAGAGATCATAGCCCAAACCGACTCATCGTATTGAGTGAAGCGGAATTCAGTGTAGATGACAGTATGGTTTTGTAGTCATTGAGAATGTGTCCAAACTTGCACAATATTGGTGGAGAAAGTGGCAGTCTTATTGAGTGACTCCCACACGTCACCTTTGGCCTCCACCTCAAAAATGCCACCAATGTCACACTGACTGGACTTACAATTAGACGATGTGATTCTACCATTCCAAGCCACTTGTTAGAGTACGTCGTACAAAGACGTCCGTCTCATGACATGTCATCACCACCACCACTTGCGACTTCACTACTCATTGAGGCTTCCACAAATGTGCTTCTCTCCAGAGTTCGTATTGAAAATTCTCCAGTACTGGCTCTGAGCTGTCATTGCCTTTCCAACTGACCAGAACTATGAGGATCCAACGAACAATGTGAACCCTCATCTGACACTGAATGACAACAGTAGAGAAACGTCTATGATGATAAACAAACCAACATCCGCCCTGATTGAGTTAACTAACAATAGCTATTGCATAGTGTCATTGAATGCTGATGTCGTAATCATAAACCTTGATGTGGTTAACTGCACATCTCACCTTGAAGGGGGACATGTGGCTGTGAGAGAGAGATTAACAGTGAACCAAAGCTCACTCACTGTCCAAGACCTAGACCTTCACATCCGAGGCAGTAAAGTCCTTTTCTGTGGTGATAACTCACAACATGGGCTGACGGCTTATAGAACCCAGTTTTTTATTGAGGAAAACTCGGAGATTATGTTTATGAGGTTTAATATCACCAAATGTGATAGCTCTGCTTTGTATATGGTGAATTCAACCTTTAAAGTCAACAATTCTAGTCTAACATTTAGAGAGAACAGTGTAAGTGGAGGAGAACAAATTGTTTACAGTGCGATTAACGAATCTTCCATGGTCATAACCAACAACTCGGTGTCTGACGAAAGTTCCCCTTTGTTGTTATTTTGCTTCAACTCTACCTTTGATTTTAGTGCAGGATACCTGCTGTTTGAGGAAAATGAGTGTAAAAACTTCTCATATTTAACCGTGAACATTGAAACAAACACAAAATTGGAAAAGCGATCATTTCTTAACTTTACGCACAATACGATACACCAGCAGTCATTCTTGTTCCTCAATAAAAGAGCCTCATTAGATGTGTATGAATCCTCATTGGTTATTACAAACAATTCAGTGGTAAATATAAGCAGGGGACTAGTTTATGAGGACTCTTACATCTTTATGAGTGCAAGCAAATTCTTAATTGAAGAGAATGAATGTCAACTTTTCTCATCAATCATGGAAACCAAAGAAACATCCATCAAAGTGGAAATGGGATCCTTTGTTACTTTCACCCACAACCAGATTTACAATCGTTCTTACATTTTGTTTAACCATCAGAAGGGATTATTGAAAGTTAATAATTCTTCTCTCCTTGTCACCAACAACTTGGTGAAAGATGAAAGCTATGTACTTCGGTGCCAAGACTCTATGACTACTGTTGTAAGCACAGGAGAATTGCTCATTAAGGAGAATGAGTGTCATGGTAGCACTTTAATATCAAATTTCCTTGCAAACATCACATTTGAGAAGCAATCAAAAG